GTTCTCAAATTCCACTCTAATAATTGTATTATGTGATCCAGTAATATTCCACGATACAGTACTGTATACTCTTAATTTTTACTTTTTTTTTTTTAGGAGAACAAGTAGTGTTTTCTTACTTTGTCTGTCCTCCCCACCTCCCCCTTATTTTTTTCTTAGCAGAAACTAAGCGTGTAATACGAGGATGAGGATTTTTTTAGTGTCCATTTTTTTATAGTGTCAGGGCTTTTTTTCCTTTTGTAATAATCCTCTATTCCACTCTTATTTTTATTTTATTACACTGAAAATGTGCAAGGAACTTAGAGTTTCAGGTACATCAGAAATATTTCTTTAATGTGTCTCGTCTTGGAAATAATGCTTGTTGGTTAAATACAATTTTTAAAACATAAGGATCTTTTTAAAAATAGCTAATTTTAAAGTTAGAAAATGTCTTCTAATTGTTTTAATGTGCATTTCTTTGATTACTATTTTATTCCAAAAGAAAATTTGAGACTGTTTTTTGGGTTGCTAAGAAACATAAAATTTTTGAGAAGTTAGGAGGAAAGTGCATGGAGTGGGAATAGAGTATGAGGGCCAGGATGAGGGGAAAAAAACAAGGCTAAAACAGGACATTTCCTAGGGAGCACAATTTGGCCAGAAGTAGAGTTATGTATGTGTGGTGTGAGGAGAGGGAGGCATTTTAAGTCTTCGAAGTGGGAATTAGTATTATTCAACAATACTAGGAAACTGAGGCATAAGCAGACAGACAGTCTTATAAGACTGACTGTCTGCCCAATAATTATTTGGAAGGAGTTGATCAAAATGTTTAGTGGCTTTCACTTGTGGAGATGTTTGGATTTGTTTTTCCTTCTTTATTTATTTAGATTTGGGTATTTTAGAAAGTAGAAAATCAAAAGTGGATCACACCTATTTGCTTTTCTTGACCAATGGGGTTTACCCAGCTCCAACTCATAGTGAAACCTAAGGGTTCACTTTTTATTCCACATCAAAAGAAATTTTAACATTTTCTCAAATGCTAATCGCTTTATCATTTGTTATTTTATAGACAAATAATAATGGAGAAAAGTAAAACAGGGTAAAGTATTTAAAAGTTCAGTATTTCTTCCTTCTTAAACCTTTGAGACATGGGTGGTTAAGCTGGCAAAGCTTGTCTCTGTTTAATTTTCTTAGCTTTAACCTCTAAAATAGTACATAATGATATGTATCGCTTTTATTTTTGTCTTCTTTGAATATATGAAGGTATTTTATTCTTAGAGTTTCAGTATTAAATTTTGGGGGTACTGATACCTAAATGAAAAGTTTGATACTTAAGAAGTTGAAATTCGTAATTAGTTTATTGAAGGGAGATTGTGAAAGGTTAATGAAGAAGACCTTTAACCCACATCTTCTCTCTCCCCTTTTTGGTAATTACAAAAATCTTTTTAGGTATGTGTCTGCATTATTTGAATTGCTTAAAACTGTCTAGCAGTATAAATATTAAGCTGTTAATAATCATTTAAACTTATTTTTCATCTTTGCAGGTATAATTGATAAAATCGTATAAATGTTTTTATTTTATAGCTTATTCAGGTGTTCATACACCTCCTAAATATAAATGTTTTCTTCATAAAACAGGTTAGAAATGAAATGCTAGAATATTATTTGTTTTCAAGGAGTATTTTGCCTCAGTTTTGTGCAGTAGCCTGCACAAAATTTAATTTTGTGCTTCACTCAAAATTTACTGGTTAGAAATCTTTGGAGAAATATGATTTTTATGTAGAATTCCAGCTATGTTACCATATTTTGCCCTATAGAACCTAGTGGAAGATGTAAGCCTATACTACATGTAATCTGAAATCTCATGTGTGTGTGTCTGCGCTCACGTGTGTTTATGGGAGTTGGTAGGGGTGTCCTTTAATCATCTAGTACCCATCCATGATGGCCATTAGTTTAAAAGAAAAAAACAAACATTGTTGGTACTAATGTCTTTGAAGCATACTGATTCAGAACCGAGGCATCTTTGAAGTTAAATTTTTGGCTCTTGCCCCAGAAAATATACATACGGAAATGAGCCAGATATGTAAATAATAGCTAAGAAAATATGCCCAAAGAACTTGATTGTATTTCAAGTAGGCTTTAAGGATTTACCTACAAGATTTGGAGCAGAACCCGAATCTTAAGCCGTTAGTATCCAGTACTGCTTTTTATAATAGTATTATATAACATTTATATTTGTTATTCAGAGCAATTCATTGGTTATCTTTGGTGGCTAGGAGAAAAGGTGGTGAGATTAAATTGCAACTGTACGTGATACGTTCTAAACTTTTGTAGAAACGCCACCTCCTGGATATATCAGTGAAGATGGAGAAACAAGTGATCAACAGTTGAACCAAAGTATGGATACAGGTAAAAATGTCTTTCAGAATTCCTTAGTAATTAGATCAACATTTTTGCCTGGTTTGAGACTCACATGAGTTATTCATAACTCTTAGAGAAGTTGGGACACATGTCATAAAATGAATTGTCTATCTTGATTTAATTATATTTGGACCATCAGAGAAGGGCCCTGTTGTCCATGAAAAATGAACATATGCTACTTTGCAGAATAATTGTTAGAATTTTCTCTTGTTAGAGTAAATGAAAATTTGAGAACACTCAGATATTTTTCATTTTTAAGAATTCTGTGGTTTTTAAAGTTTTGTTATCCCGTAAATACTTATATTTTTGTTAATGAAAGGCCATAATTAGCCCAGTAACAAATTTTCAGAGGAATTTGGAGATAAGGGATGGGAATCAGCTTTTTAGTGCCCCTGTAACATGATAGTTCTGAATTACAGTAGATTGTTTACACAAAATACCTTGTACCTGACCTAATTCAACCAATTCAACCTTAATATCACAACCTGACAAATTACAGTTTATTGTAAATCATTCTTCAGTTACGTAAATTATTTTTAAATGAATTAACATTGGCAGTTGGAGGTGGGCTGGCCTTTACAATAATTCTGTTGACTAAATCTTTCCATTATTTAGACTCTCAGGTAAAGAAGCTTCTACTATAGCCAGTCATACCTAAAGTTGTTTGGAATGGTAGATAACCAAGAAAGGCAGATCATTGGAAATAACACCTTGTATATCGTAATGTCTTACTGCAAGTTATATTTGGCTTTCCAGATATGTCTTTCTTACATACCTGTATCTCAAAGAACTGTATCCCTGAATAAACCATGTTCCTGTTTGCCCTGTGATGGACAACTGCTTCTAAAATTTAAAAATGAATGTCATGAAAACATGCTCAACATGATTAGTGATCAGACCAATGCAAATGAAAACTACAGTGACATGCCATTTTACACCGACTGGAATGGTTATAATCAAAAAGGACAATAACAAGTGTTGATGAGGGTATGGAGGAGTTGGAGTCTTCCTATGTTGCTGGCAGGAATGTAAAATGGTTCAGTTGTTTTGGGCAAATTTGCTGTTCTTCAGAAATTATCGAATAACAGTATAACCCAGTAATTTTACTCCTAGGTATATACCCAAGAAGATTGAAAACTGAATTTGTACACATCCATGCTAAACTTGTGCACAATTTTCACATAAACATAATAGTAGAAACAAAGTAGAAACAACCTAGTTGTCCATCAAATGATGAAGGATAAATTAAATTAGGTATATCCATACACTGGAATATTGTTCAACCATATAAATAAATGAAGTACTGATCCATGATACAACATGGATGAACTCAAAGGGCCACAAGAATTCCAGTCAGTGCACAAATGCCTAATCGATAATATAGCTGAAGCATGACAGTGGCAATAAGATGAATATATAATAGTCCTCCCATATATGCAGGAGATATGTTCCAAGACCCCCAGTGGATGCCTGAAATTGCAGATAGTATTGAACCCATAGCATTATGTTTTCTCCTACACATACATACCTATGATAAAGCTTAATTTATAAATTGGACACACACAGTAACAAATTAACAGTAAGTAACAATAGAACAATTAGAACAATATACTGTAATAAAAGTCATGTGAATGTGGTCTCTCAAAGTATCTTATTTTTCTGGACTCACCTTTTTAAAGAAAGCACTTTATGGCTTCTCATTGGCTTATTTGAATTGCCAATATCACTACCCTTGCACCTCTGGGCCACTCTTAAGTAAAATACGCATTACTTGAGCACAAGCACTGCAATACTGCGACAGACCATCTGGTAACCTAGATGGCTGTTAAGTGACTAATGAGCGGGTAGCATATATAGTATGGATACACTATATATAGTGTTTTCATTTGGACAAAAGGACGATTCACATCCTAGGTGGGGCAGAGTGGGACAGCATGAGATTTCATCACACTACTGAGAATGACACACAATTTAAAACTTGTGAATAGTTTATTTCTGGAATTTTCCATTAATATTTTCAGATCACAGTTGAATGCAGGTAACTGAAACTGAGAAAAGTGACGCCACGAATAAGGAAGGGACTACTCTGCCTCCATATTTATCATTTCCGCTCTTCATACCTTTTCAATAGACATTTGTCCAGTTGTTTTAACACCATTTGTTGGAGAGACCTTTTTTTCTCCATTGATTTACCTTGGCTTCTATGTCGAAAATCAAGTGATAACGTGTATGTGGGTCTAACTTTTGTTCTGCCCATGAATTCATTTCAGATAATCTGTTTTTCAGTTTTATAATTTCCATTTAAACTCTCTCTGATCATTCCAGTATCTGGTTGATATGTAAGTCTGCTTCTGTTGACTCTTATCTCTTGATTATGGGTCAGTTGTTCCTATTTCTTTGCATGTCTCGTGTTGTTTTAGATTGGTTGCTGGATATTGTATATAAAATACTAGAGAGTACTAGAGAGTAATACTAGAGAGTAATATAGAATTTGTATGCAAAGATACCAACACAAGGATTTCTCTAGATGTTTTAGCTGCAAGTAACAGAAACCACTGATTGAAACTAGCTAAATAGGATATTTTTTACTTCTCATAACAGGAAGTCCCAGACTTCAGTAGCAGCATGAATATATGAATAACTAATAGGTTAATTACCAATTAACCTACCTCTGTTTAAAAAAAATGTTTCTAAAAACTACTTTTAGCTAATAAATTATTAGCTTAATTTAACTTTAAAAAATTTTATATATGATTATAATGAACCTTTTTGTCAGCTATAATTTTATCACATCTGACTAAACTATTAATCTAAATGAACTATGACTATATTAGTCACTTCTGAGAAGTATTTGATAGAGGAAAAACAGTTAAATGATGAAAAATTAGGCAGTTTCCTCCATTTCTAATAGTGGCTTTGTTTATTTTATATCAGCTTCAGGAAACAGCAGTGAATTTTAGTTCATTGTTCTAAATATATTTTGACCTTTCTTAGTTGTACCTGTTGTGACTTGCCAACAGATTTTTCAAAATGAGGAACAAAAAAAGAACATAAGAGCTTAATTTTGTTATGGAAGACTGTTCTCTCTTCTAAAAAATAATTATCACCTGTTCTCTATTTTTGATTCATCAGTTTTGTCTGAGAGTTGCCATTTCACCTGTGTTGCCTGGTATTTTATTGTCGTGGTTATAATGGTTTGGAGAGGAGGGTCTGTTTGACCTGTCTTACTCTACATCTACACCATGCTGTATATTTGAAGCTTGTATTTTTAGATAACTTTCCCAAAATGTGTAGAGAATGATGATCAGACAGCAAAACTTATCCTATTATTGTTATGTGATCATTTAACAACATTTACAACAAACGTGTTGTAAAATTTAGTTGCATGGAATTGAGTGAAGTAGTGTCTCATTGTTTTATTCTTCTGTGTCTGTGGTTGTACCTTCCTTTTCTCTTGTATTTGTGCCCCTCCCCCTTATTTTCTTGATTAGATTTATCTTGTTTACCTAAAACTGGAAGACATGCATAATTTTCTAAGAAAATATAATTTACCAGAACTGACGCGAGAAAATAGAGCTATCTTAGTCAACTTTCATAGAAGAAACAGAAATGTTTTAAACTCTAGAAAATTGTTAACTACAGTTTAACACAGGAATTCTACACAACTATTAACGAAGGTGTTATTAAAATGCTATTTAAATTGTTGCAGAGCATAGACACATAGCTTCTAGATTGTCTTTATGAGGCAGCATTACATTGCATTGGCCAGTTGAGATTATTGTTGCAGAAATTCTAAATAAGCAATGTTGTCTCTCATCCTCAAAGCCAGCATTATACTTAATGGGAAAATACTAGAATATTCCCTTTAAGTTAAGAGTGAGACAAGATCTGCTGTCACCACTGTGACACACCCCAAAATGATGGATAAATTATATCACATAAGTTTTTTTTAAATACGGCTTAATCAAAATTAGGATGAAGAGTTATAAGACAAATAATCAAATATTTGCAACCCATACCATGAAAGGACTAATATCCCTAACACATAAAGAGCCTTCTATAATTTAGTGAGAAAAGTAATCAACACCTTGATAGAAAAATAAACAAAAAAAGAGAACAGACTAAAAGAACAGAAAGGACACACAATAGAAATGAGTCTATAGCTGCTCAGTGTCATAGAGCAATACTGATTAAAACTATACTTGTTAAGATCACATTCTCACCTATCAACAATAACACATGAGCATACCCTCACTATTTTTGTTACTGGGAATGCAAACTGGTACAACCTCTATAGATGACAATATTAACAGAATTATAGAACCACAGCTCTTTGACCTGGCAATTTCTCTTTTAAGAGTCTATGATTATAATTGATTGAAAGTATGCAAAATTTGCAAGATTAGCCTGAGTATTGATCAGTATGGGATCACAATATACCATAACATAATTTTATACAGCTAATATGTAGATAAGTAATTAATAAGGAAACGACAACATCTCTGTAGAGTAAGTAGTATAAAAGCAAAGTTCAAAACTATGTTATCATTTATATGTAAACAGCAGAGGACACAGAACAGAATATATTTGTATGGTTCATAGAATAGTTCTGGAAAGATATACTGGATGCCTTTGAGAAGGGGAACTGGGTGGCTAGAAGCCAAGACTGTTTATACTCTTTTTTACCTTTTATATCTTGAAACCTCAAAAATTACACTCAAAGCAGTTATATATTTTGAATTCTTGAGATATAAATTACCTGTGTGTTATTTGTGATCATTAATTACAGCTAGTTTTGTTATTATTTGGTCAGAAGTTCTGGAAATACTTGGACATCTATCTTTAAACTGAATCCTTTCGTTTCAGGATCTCCAGCAGAACTATCTCCTACTACTCTACTCTGTTAATCATAGTTTTGTTAAGGTGCAAATACTTGTCCCCCCACTGTTTTTATATCACTTACTTAAATGCTCTCTCTACTAATTTTTCCCATATATGAGAAAGGGATCCCAATCAGTAATCAAGTGATTGTTCATACTAATAATGCCTTTTAAAAATGATATTGGTAATGTTCCTCAATTTTACTAAAATTCTTTTCTGCTGGCACATAGTGTAAGAAACTAACAACCTTTTTGTTCATGGAAATCAAATTCTTTATTCATGGAAAATTTTATGACCTATTACGGCTAGATTTTTTATGGGTACGTTTGTTATATATTTTGTAATAGCAATTAATACAAGAAGTATGTGTATAAATATATATACACATATCACAAATATGTTCATGTGGTATGGGGGATATGTATGCATGTATATGTGTGTATGTGTATTTATATAAATTCTGTAGTTTATTTTTGGTCTTTATTTTACTTTATAAATTACTTCACAATTTCTCTTCAGTTGACACATTCAGAATTCTAAAAAATTGTCAATTTTTTCATGATATTCCTTATGTATTTTAATCAAAATTATAGAAATCAAATTCATGCGATTTTAGTTTTCCCATGAAATGTAGATTCTTTGGATTCCATATTCTGTTTCTTCCTGCATACTCTCTGTTTTATTACTTTTTGTTTCTTGTGTATGCGGGGATTTTGTAACTAGAGTAACTACTTAGCATCTTATGTTAAAATAGACAAATGTCAAAAGTGTGTCATATTTTGTATCCTGTTATTCTTCTTCTTCTGGCTTTTGACTCCATCTTTGCTGCAGTTTTATTCTACTTCATCCTACCAAAAATTAGCTTTATTAAGCAAATTGATTTGCTTTCCTATGGTAGTTTTATATTTGAACAGGAACTAGAGTAAAACTACTAGGAGATCAAATGATCCACCATAAAGTCTAAAGATGTTTGAAGATTGGATGAGTTCATGATATGGGGGAAATTGAAAATCTGGTTTGATCTATGGAAACTGGAGTTCGTGTTATAGATGTTAAGTCTACTTCCTGAGCTGTGCCAGTTGTAGGCTGGCATAAAGCATGTGAAGATGATAATATTCAATCTATTCTTGGCTCGAATTGTTCACACAACATTTCTTGTTCTTATGGGATTGGGTTTTTCTCCCCCTCCCACCCCCAGATTTGCAGCCAGTTACTTATTCAGAACCTGCATTTTGGTGTTCAATAGCATATTATGAATTAAACCAGAGGGTTGGAGAGACCTTCCATGCATCACAGCCCTCACTCACTGTAGACGGCTTCACAGATCCATCAAATTCAGAGAGATTCTGCTTAGGTTTACTCTCCAATGTCAACCGAAATGCTACAGTAGAAATGACAAGAAGACATATAGGTATGTTTTTGTGTGTGTGTGTGTGTGTGTGTGTGTGTGAAAAACCAATGCCATATGCTCATAATGTGAGCATTATGTGGTTTACCACATCAAGAGATTGTATGCAAAAAAAGCCTGCCTTCTCTCTCAGTTTAAGTGCACAGCTTACCGCTTTTAATAGATCATGGTGATGTGATCCTTCTGTCTGCAAACTCTTCAGTTTATCTTTATTTGTCACTCTTGATACTGGAAAGTCCTTTAATATGTGTTAAAATAACTTTATTGAGCCTCTATATACCAGTTAGAAAATTGTCATGTTTAGATTTTAGGATTATAATTTTAACAAATGATCAGTTTTTTGTTTGTTTACATCTTCTAGTGTGTTCCTTCTTCAGTGAGTTAATATATTAAATCAAATCTTACTATCTATCTGAAGTAAGATACCTAAAACAACTACCATTTATTATTGTCCAAAAAATAATTCAGAGGACTTCAAAATATGGTAGTCCCACTACCCTTTCAGCAAGCTTGTGAGGTCAAAACTCTTTTCATAATGGTGCTAGGATGTTATTTGCCTCTTTCACTGCCATTCTCTCACTAGTATACAGTGAAGTATTGAGAGGTTAGATGGCTTATGATCTTGCAAGAGATTAAATGTAGACTCTGGTGAGAAGCAGCCTTCTTCGGTTAAGTCAGATGTTAAAGAGATTTGCAAGAATATAAAACATTGCTACTCTTATCACTAATTTTTTTGCTTTGGAAAATAGAGTTATTTTCATAAACATGTTATTTATATTAATATGTGGTAGGTTTATTATTTTGATTTCTTAAATGAATTAATAAATGTTTTGAATCTCAGTTTTAATATCTAATATGCTAAGTTTCCATAGATATAAGCCACATAAACAAAAACTCTTTGAGGTCATCAGTATACTTTTTGACTATGGGGTAGGTAAAAAAAAAGTTTTGAGCACCATTGATGTAACTGAACATAGTTCTCAATCACCTTAATGTAACTTCTTTTAGCAGTAGTTTGTTTCTGTTTTTGTTTAATGAACCATTACCTCCTGTGAGAAATAATGCTGATCACGAAAAAGATGTGATTCTGCAGAGAGTTAAGTACTTGAGAGGTCTGTTTCTTGGTTTCGTGTTGAATTTCTCAAATCTCGCTTGACATATAAATTTTGTATAATCCTTCTTAAGGTATGAAGATATCTTGTAGGTAAAGAAGGCTTCTGAATATCCACCCTATTTTAACTAAAATAGTTCTGATTTTTTTCTGTATTTTATTCGGGGTTGTGCATAAAAATTTAATAGGAGGTTTCCTCTACCCTATTCACTTCTCTGCAAATTTTTAGATTGCTGTAATTATTGGATCATCTTTTTACTTTTGATTTCTAGTTCATGGGGTGGTTTTGATCAGAGACTATAGCCGGAAAAATGTCTAATTTTTGGACTTAATGTTTTCATGACGGTCAGTACATGATTTTTTTCTGCAGTCATAAGAACCAGGACATCAGGTTCTACGTTTATGTGTTAAATCTGGCTTATAGGTTGTTTTATTAGTTTCCTTTTACTGCATAATATAACCACACACTTACCAGCCTGAAACTACACAAATTTATTATCTCACAGTCTCTGTGGGGCAGGAGTCCAGATATGGCTTAAGAATCTCATTAAGGCCTAACAAGGGGAAATCAGGATGTCATCTGGGCTGGCTTCTCATCTAGAGCTTAAGGTCTTCTTCCAAGCTGATTGGTTCACTTCCTTGAAGTTGTAGCACTAAGATCCTAATTTCTTGCAGACTGTCAGCTGGAAACTGCTCTCAGCAACTGGAGGCCACCTGCATTCCTTGCCACATGGCCTCCTCCATCTTCATAGTCAGCAGTGGAGCATCTCTTGCGTTGATTCCCTCTCACACTTTGAATCAATTTTACCTAGGACAGCCCAGTCCCTTTTAAAGGATACCACCTGCTTAAGTTAGGCCTACCAAAGATAATCTCCCTTTTGTCGAGGTCATCTAAGGTCTCATTTGAGACCTTAATTACATCTGAAAAATTCCTTAACAGCACCACCTAGATTAGTGTTGGAATGATAGAGAAGATATATGCACACCAGGGGTGAGAATCTTAAGTGTTATCTTAGATCTTTGCCTTAATCCTTATTTCTCTATTTTATGTGTATTTGATTTGTCAAATTCTGAAAGAGCTTTGTTAAAATCTTCTAATTTTTTTCCTACCTAATTCTGCTTATATATCTAAGGATTTGATTGTCACAATAATATGTAGTTTTAAATGACTTTAACCTCTTCATGATTTTTATTACCTTTTTTCCTTAACCATAGTGGGATCTATAAGGAAATATTTATTATAATGAAGGTATGTTTTTCCAAACATTAGTTAATTGCTTTAAAATTACCTCAATTTTTTTTACTTATTTTAAAATAATAATTTGTATGAAAAGTTGTATTTTACTGTCTATGCACTTTCTATGTTGTTTAAATACTTTTGACAGGCATGTATTATTTTTACAAATCAATAAAATCATTGTTACAAAATACTTGGAAAAATACCCATTGGTATGTTTCAAAGTTATACCTAGGAGAAGCACAGCTATGGAAAATATCTAAATACCTTATGTCATTTTAGTATTCCTTCAAGAAGACTCTTCCGGAGTCATGCTGAAATAGTAAATGTTATAAAACTAATCCCATATGTATTTTGTTTTAGGAAGAGGCGTGCGCTTATATTACATAGGTGGGGAAGTTTTTGCTGAGTGCCTAAGTGATAGTGCAATCTTTGTGCAGAGCCCCAATTGTAATCAGAGATACGGCTGGCACCCTGCAACAGTGTGTAAAATTCCACCAGGTATGGATACAACAATGTAAATAAACCTATCTTATCAACTTCTTGAGTTTTTGTAGTTGTTGTTAATTTATAGGACTTAGAAGATGATTTGCATGCTCATAGTCTAATATCTGTAGCCTTTTTAAAATTATTTTCTTACAATGATACTCTTTACACAATTTTCTTTTACTTTTTTTCAATCATAGGCTGTAATCTGAAGATCTTCAACAACCAAGAATTTGCTGCTCTTCTGGCTCAGTCTGTTAATCAGGGTTTTGAAGCCGTGTATCAACTAACTAGAATGTGCACCATAAGAATGAGTTTTGTGAAAGGGTGGGGAGCAGAATACCGGTATGAAATACATATTCACTTCTTAAGTTTCCACTGTATAAATCTTTTTTCTTCCATTCTTTGCGTCCTCTGGAGTTCACATGTATCTATTTTCGTTGAAGTTATGGAGTCAGCAGATCTTTATGTAAAATAACAAAAGAAAATCGGAGGCCTCTAGGTTCAAAACTTGCTAATTCCTGTGCTGGCATTATAGAAGATAGAATTGAAACATGTATGGACATGCACTGTAACATAATGCAGAGTGTTAAATAATGTAAAAAGGATATATTAGAAGGTTTATGTCAGTTCAGGGAAGGAGAAACGTTTTCACTGGGGCTTAGGGAGGCTTCTGGTGGAGATGGCACATGATCTAGGTTCTAAAAGATACATAATAGTTATAGGTTTGAAGGGGTGGGAAGTGATGATCCTGGCAATAAACTAGTTCAGTTTGCTTGGAGTATAGGAAATACAAAAGAATAAGGCTGGACAAATATGTGGAGACCATCTGAATATAAGGTTAAGAGGTGGAACCTATTACTGAATCTATAGTATTAGAAGGGGATACTTGTTAGGTGCCAAGCACTATGGTGTGTTTTAATTGCCTTTCAACCTGGCTAAGAATTTCTGTTTTCTGTTGTTATCCTTTCTTTATAAGGTTACAATCTTTGTAAATAAATGATTCAAACTAATACTACTTATTTCAAAGTAGGCTTACAAGATATTTGATAATTTGCCCAAGGACACATTGTAAGTGGTGGAGAGCTCTCCTTGACTCTTAACCTCTTTTCTAAATATAGTGGTAATAGTTACATAATTGAGTTTTTTAAAAGCGAATTTGTCATCAGGGGTTAAGGTAGATTACGGTGGATTGGAATTCCATGTCAAAGAAAAGGAAGATATTCTCAGCATATTAAAGAATAGAACTATAAGTAAAATACTTAGTCTTTCTCTAACTCTTTGCTTACTTTCTGAATGTCTGCTTAAGAAGATATTCATATAGTAATGGTATTCCTGTTTTATTGAGTAATTTGGGCCCTTCTTCCCTATCTTAAACAAGTTTTGTAAGGTGTCTGACTTTTGAGATGAGATTTGAGGTCTTCTGGTTGAATACTTTTATAAAAATATATAAAATATATAAAAATATATTCTGTATAATACATTTATATCCCAGAATGAAGACATTATTCTTTTGTCCAAATTATAGTAGTAGAATAATCGTTTTGTATCTTTATGTAGTGCTGTTTTAATCATTCCCATTTAACATATGATACCTTTAAAGAATGCTGAGTTCCTTATTTCCTTTGGACTTGAATCGACCAGAGTTGATTTTAAAATTAGATTCAAATGGTACTATCTGATACCAAGTTTTTAGGTCACAGGTCAGATTTTTTTTTCTTTAGAAGATTGGAATGTTGCAGAACATGTTATAAATTCAGTGGAATTAAATATGAACGGCGTAGGTCAAGGAGAATTACATGTATATCTATAGGTCATCTGCTAAGAGCAGTTTTAATTGGGGGAGAGAGATACTGCCTTCATTCACTGTGGACTCTGCCATTCATTAACCCAGAGATAACTTAAAATCTGTAATTACAAGAAGCAGTAATACACAGTATGTTTTTATGGCTGTGAAGTCAGGTACATCTGTTTTGGATAGTAAAGTAGTTCCCTTGAAAATTTACAGATCAAAATAACATCAGAAACCCGTATATCTGAGAACCGTGTGTAGTTACCAGGAACTTTACCTTAATGACACTGGAGCAGAGAAGGTAGAGTTCTAAAACTATTTTCCCATTTCTTTAAATCCAGCTTGATTCCCAGCATAAAAATCAGGAATGTAATAAACAGGAAATATAGATGTGTAAAGAATTCATATTTTATTGAGAAATAAGTGAATCAGTACCGGAGTGACTAAACAGTTAGGGATGGATAATGCTTCAAGTGCATTTTTGTGCCCAAATAAGTACAGAGACAGCCTTCTTAAATCTATTTCTACCTTTCAGTGACCTGGATTAAGAATTTATTCCTGAAGGTTAAACTAAAGTAGTAATAAAAGGATATGATTGAAAACAAACTGGGAATTATCCAGAATTCAGCAGATGGCAAAATCAAAATTAAAAGAGATCTTGGCAAAAATTACTGCAGAAGGCCTCATCTGAGGGAGAGATGGAAGGCAAGAGAAGCTTTATGTGAAGAAGAAAACACACACACAAAAAAAATGGAGGGGAAGATGAGAAAGGGTCAGTCTTGCCTGTACCTCATGGATAATGTGGGACGACTTGTGAAGTGTGCCACTGCAATTTTCAGCTGCATAGACCACTATACAGTATCTAAATCAAAATAAGGCAGATTTGAGACTGTTGTGTTAAATTCCGTGTGTCATGTTTTAGGAATGATCATATATCAAAATGTCTTAGTGTGTGTCTCAGACCCTGAGACAAGGATTCAAGTGCAGAGTTTGTTCAGGAAATGGAGGAAACACTGGTAAGGAAGGAGGAGGTAGGGAAGTGAAGTGGGGGAAGGAAGGCAGCCAATACCATTATTAAGCAATCTAGTATAGTGGGTGGGTCACTAGGTTATTCCCTTAGGAAATCTTTGGAAAAAAGTAAAGAACATACAAAATTATCTCACCCAGAGGGAAAGAAACTGGGCATTTAAATGCCAATTCCTGTGTCATTTGTTGCTCCTGAGGATATTAATTTCCTGGCACTTCCAGCCTGCTACACGTGGACAAAGCAGAGACGTTCTCAGACAGATAAATACAGATGCCTGCAGTTGGAAGTTATATAGAGAACACTGAAAAATCTGAAGGGTATAGTGGGGCATTGACACCATCTGCTGCAGAAAACCACATCCTTGGAATAGTTTTAAATTCTGTTGAGCATGTGTTGCTTGAAGATGAAGTGTTGAGAGTAGCCTTTTTTCATGTTCGAAGGGTTATCACATTGAAGAAGCAAGCAGACTTACTGACTTACTTTATATAGTAAGTAAGACAAAGCTAAATCAGTATGTGGAAGTGACAGATGTCATTGAACAATTAATGATTCTCAGAGAGTAATCCATTTTGTCGAAATACTAAAGGTGTTTCTTATTAAAAACCTGCGCGATGTTGCTGAAAGGGATGTCCGCTCATTGGCCTTGGCAGGGAATGTTGAACTATACAAATCTGTGATAAGCTAGGGTCACAATTCTCCTTTGTTTTGGTATAGTTTAAATTTGAACCCTGTTCCACTTAAACTTCATTTGGTAGTTGAATATCTTATGTGGTTGATTAATAAGTAGAGTGACTGTATGCTTCAATTAGTTTAGGACAGCCCTGGTTTGGTTTGATGTCCTGTTCTCTGGCGTATTATTAACAGTGACTGCGTTCTTTCATACAGGTGTCCCATTTGGGGTGGTAAATAATTTTTTTTGAGGGGCAAAAAATGTTTTTTATGTATCTCTTTAAAAGTCATTGGTAATACTTCGTTAGACTGAGGATTAAGCAGTTTTCAAAATCATTAATCAGATATTTAGACTTAATACATGTTCAAAAGAAATTTGGTTTCAGTATATACAACCTTTTATCTAAATTCTTATTTCATGTAGCTAAACTTAGTCATGTTCTTTTCATTTCATAATTATTCTCTTGTATTCTTTTAAACAGAAGGCAGACGGTAACGAGCACTCCTTGCTGGATTGAACTTCATCTGAATGGACCTCTACAGTGGTTGGACAAAGTATTAACTCAGATGGGATCCCCTTCAGTGCGTTGCTCAAGCATGTCATAAAGCTTCATCACCAATCAAATCCCATCAAAAGACAATGTAACAACTCTTCTGTCATAGTATTTGTGTGTGGTCCCCATGGACTGTTTACTATCCAAAAATTCAAGCTAGAAAACAGCACTTGAGGTCTCATCAATTTAAGCACCTTGTGGAATCGATTTCCTATACTCGAATATTAGATGGGAAAATTAGTGTCTAGAAATACCCTTCCATAAAGGAGGAGAAGATTTTAAAGACTTACTGATGTCTTGTTGGGCATAAAACTGAGTGTCCCAAAGGTTTATTAATAACAGTAGTAGTTATGTGTACAGTTAATGTATCATGATCCAGTATCACAGTATTGTGCTGTTTATATACATTTTTAGTTTGCATAAATTAGGCGTGTGTGTGCTGCTTCTTGATTTAGGCAAGCCTTTATAAAGTTACAGTACCTAATCTGTTATTCCCACTTCTCCGTTATTTTTGTGTGTCTTTTTTAATATATAATATATATCAAGATTTTCAAATTATCATTTAGAAGCAGATTTCCCTTGTAGAAAAACTAATTTTTCTGCCTTTTACCAAAAATAAACTCTTGGGGGAAGAAAAGTGGATTAACTTTTGAAATCTTTGACCTTAATGTGTTCAGTGGGTCTTAAACATTCATTCTTGTTTGTTTGTTTATTGCTAAATCTCATTACAAGGAAGCCTTGTAGAAAATCTTTCCAAACCTCTTCTTTATTTCTACTTTTGCCGTGATACCAAAACAGCGTAGCATGACATCCATTGCCATTAAGGTGGCACTGATAATGCCAGCACCAGTTGATTCTGGGGTACAGTAAGAATTCATATGGAGTAAGTTGCTTTTTCTTGCACCAGATTTCAACAGATAATAATTGACTTATGTGACCTCACAGTCTATTAATTTATCCTTACATCTCATAAAAATGCACAGGTGGCAGTATAATTATTTTCAGGGATATGCTACAGTTATTTCAGTATATTGTCCTTTTTTAAAAAGCCAATCTATAGATATAAACACCCTTTTTAAAAAGGTATTTTAAAATATTTCCATAGCAGATCTAGTGCTCTTTGAGTTTCATTTGCTTTAGTTACCATATTGTTATGAATGGACCTTTTGTAAATGTAACTGCTTTTGCAAAACACCTAGAAAAGTGATGCTGAGGTACGATCAGCAGATAAGGGCCATCTGTTTTTAAATTATGTTGTATTCAATTTATAAAATCTTTGTTTTACATAATTATGAATTCAGAATTTTAAAAATTGGGAGAGAAGCAACTTTTTAAGCTTATAATTACCTAGAGTCTGGGCTGTTCTTAACTAATCGTGAGTATATGGCTGTTAGAACCAACCACATTTTGTTCTGCAGTGGGAGGAGATGCCAGAGGCTCCGTTGGTCGTCTATTCTGCAGCACACAATCCTATGTCTAATTTTAACTCATTGTGTTTAAATATTTCTTGCTTGCATCTCAGTAGAAATGAAAAATAACCCACTCCTCATCCCTTTCTAGTAAATTTTCATGTTTTTGAAGATAAATACCTTAGGTACTTGTTTTTTTGAAACCATATTCATATGTCTCTACAAAGTGTCATTTTTAATACATTCAGCATTTGGTTGTTTTCTATTAGATTTTCCACATTTTCGAATATTCGTGTATACATGTATGTAAACTTGGTATAGTAATTTTTTATTCATTCAACAAATATTTATTGTTCACTTGTTATATGTGCCAGGAACTTTCTTAACCTTTGGGTAAAGGTAAACAAGACAGATACGGTCCCCGCCTTTGCTGAGACAGTAGTTACTGTAACCCTTAATCAGCTTCTTTTTCTATGAAGGAGATAAACAGGGTACTGTGATAGAGCATAACAGAGGGAAGGCTTCTCTAAGGAAATGATGCTTGAGCTAACAGTTGGCATGAGAAAGGAGCAAGCCACGCAGACAGCCAGGGGAGCTAGGCATTCCT